TTTGTTTCCCAAGACTCCTCCACTAGCTGCATCTAAAAGGTTCCTATCCATAGGTAGTAACCCTTCATAGAAGTAAACAATCAGGAGATTGTCTGGAATCTGATGATGTGGACAGCTTGCACAAAGCCTTTTAAACCGCTCCCAATACTCATGCATGTTCTCTCCATTAGCCTGCCTTATGCCACTGATCTCCTTTCTGATTGTGGTGGCCCTGGATGAAGGGAAGAATTTCTCCAGAAACAATCTTGACATATCATTCCAGCTTACAATGGAGGAAGGTGGCAAGTAGTACAGCCAGTCCTTAGCTCCACTGTCCAAAGAGAAAGGAAAAGCACGCAGCTTGATTTGCTCCTCATCTACCCCTGTTGGCTTCATAATGTTGCAGACTATATGAAATTCCTTCAGATGTTTGTGAGGATCCTCACCTACAAGACCATGAAACTTGGGAAGCAAGTGTATCAGTCCAGACTTAAGCTCAAAAGGTACAACAGGATTAGCATAACGAATACACAAGGGCTGCTCATTATCAACATTAGGAGCAGCCATTTGCTTAAGTGTTCTATCACCCATGATTTCAGAATCAAAAAAACTACCAAAGGAATAAACACTATATAAAGGACTCGAACAAACAGACTCAACAGACTCAGACTCAATAGACTCAGACTCAACAGACTCAGACTCTAAGGTATGCTCAGGAACAGCTCTACTGTAAGTCAACCTACGAGCTCTACTAGCAGCTCGCAATGATCTCTCTATCTCAGGGTCATATGCATATAAATCATCAACACTAGTGGTACTCCTAGTCATGCATCATAGGTAAAGGCATACAGCAGTAAAATCACAAAACATACGATAGGTCACAAATTTTTTCCGAAAATAGAACACAGAAGCAAAAATAAATCTACGAAAAATACCAAATGACCTCAGAATGCTATGAGACCAACTCTCCTAAACTCTAAATGACCTTACAAACTCAAAAATAAAATAAAATATTTTTAAAAAATAAAAGAAAATAGTAAACGAACGAATTCGATAAAACTAGGGCCCAATACGTGGGGCATAGCCCCACAATTTTTGACAGGGATCATCATCTTCTTCAGCTCACCAATTTTTAGATCTATCAAAGTAAGTCGAACAAATCCAGAAATACCCGACACGTCCTAAAACGACAAAGAAACACCAAAACGGGTTAGTAAACGACAGAATTTGACAAAAATAAGGGCCACCTCACGCCTTTTTAGGGCGTGACTTATGCTCAGAAGGTCGAATTCCTTTGGGAATAGAACTCCTGAAGCCAATCTCTCAAACAAAAGTTTTACCGATTTCCCCAAATTTGCCCAAAACGTAAACCGTAATGCAAAAAATTCAAAAACTGAGAAAAGATGTCTGTGCAGAATCAAATTCCGATGCAGAATCAACTATGAAGACATCGGAATCAGAAACACAAACGAGTACAAACGCAAAAACAAGACAGATGCGCAAACATAATTTTTTTTTTAACTTTTTTTTTTTTAGAAACAGAAACGAAAATTAAAGAAGAAGAAGAAGATGATCAAATTGAGAAAACGATTTAGACCGATGCAATTTTTTCGGCAACAGCGATAAATTTGACACGAGCTGCCGAACTCGCGCAAATTAAAAATTATTTTTTATTAGGGTTCAGAAAATTTGTAGTAAAGTGGAAATCCTAAGTCGTCTCTCAAGGAAATTGTTTTGGTAAAAATCGCTTATGATGACAGAAAATTAAAAGGGGGGTTTTGGATTTTGATTGAATAATTAAAAAGACAGAATATAAATTTGGAACAAAAATTCGTAATTAAAAATTAACCAACCTAAGGTTAGGGTTCCATGGACGTCTTTCCTCGGATAAAAAGATATCAGAATCGTGATTGATCGTCAATCGAATCAGAATCCTTATTTCTAATTAACAACCCTCTCTAAGCGAACGCTTAACATTGGATCAAATACGGTGCTTCTACTCATACAATTGCAGAGTGTCAGCCCGTTTGATTTAAGATCATAGGGTCAATCAATCTAACCATCAAATCTGATGATTAATCCCTTTCAATAATCGCAATCGCGAAACTCAGATTGAATATCCACGATCGCACGATATCAATCTGAGTTGGGAAGGGAAACGAAACTGATTTAAGATAAAGCGCAGACCCTCAAGACTAATCAATGGAATCCGTTACCCTTAGGTTGATTAAAAGGTTCTTAGCCTCGCATGGCTAAGGTAAACATGATTAAAATAAAATAAAAAGAAGAAGAAGAAAAAGATGAAGAACACGAAGAACGCTCCAGAGAAAGTGCTTTGATCCCAAAATACGAAAATTCAGAATCAATAATAGTTTCCTACTCTGCCGTCATATACCCCTACCCAAATCGGGTTAGGGTTCAGTTCTGATCGGCCCATCTGTCTAAAATACGAAATAAAATAAATAAAATAAAACTTGGCTTTGGATCGCTTATGTAATTGGATTTTAATTTAAATTACAAGTCTAAAACTTCAGTAAAACGTGTCCGACTTGGCGCAAGAATTCGACCAGCTTCCAGTCCGAATTGGGCTTCGAGCTCTCATAAGAATCGTAGCCCTCTGTGTTATCTGAAAAACCCAACAAGAACGGAGTCAATCCAACAACTGTGGACCAAGATATGGCCAAAATACAGAAGTAACGTAAAACTGAAAAATTGTGACGAAAATAAATTAAACCCAATCAAAAACTAAAAATGTAAATTAATCAAAATATCATTATTTTATTCAAATAAATCCTAAAAATACTAATCAAGAGTAACAAATAAGTGTAATAAAATATGAGTTATCAGATATATATTGGCAGGCGATGTGCCTTAGGACGAAATGGAGAAAAACTATTAGCATGTTGGAGGATTAGACCGGTTGTTATTCATATGTTCTAGATGGTCCATTTTTAGTCATTTTCTTATTCATCTCCCCTCTCTTCTTATTGTTTCATTCTTTTCCTTTATCTCTTTTGTCATTCATCATCTTCTTCTTTCTCTTTTTTATTTTCTTTTTTTACACTTTTTTTTTTACTTATATATATATATATTAGTTTTATTTTTTACCTTCGTATCTTTCATTTGGGTTCATTTACCACTGACCCCAATTAGTTTGAGATAAAAGTATTTTTGATGTTGATGTTGAATTCAAATAAAATTGGTGACGACTTTATTGTCTAATTAAATTTCTAAATATTATAATTTTTGAGTTGTTAAATTATATATATGTGAAGAGTATATTAATTTCAGTTGATATTTACTTTTTAATATATTTATATAAATAATCCGTACATATTCTGAGTATATTTATAATTCTTATAAAAATTATTCAAATATAAAAAAATTTATTTACCAGTAGATTCTTGTGATATTATTTAAAACTCAATTTGAAACTTGTTTATGATTAATGAAAAATTTTAAATCTAGTTTAAAATTCAAAAAACTTGAACTGGGGTTTTATATAAAATCAAAAGATAAATGAATCAAGAAAAGCTAAATTAAGGTGAGCATTTATGTTTACCGAAAAGAACAAAGGTGAGCATTTATGAGTATTGGGGGGCGTTTGTTACACGGCATTTGGCTGGATTCTCGGGAAATTGAATTTTTCTAAATTTTAAATTTCTAGATATTATGGTAAACTGAACGTAAAAATCATATTTTTGAAAATTGAGATTCCCGGACAAATAAAAATTTCTCCTGTACCAAACGCCATTAATTACCTTTCCAAACCATATTTTTGAACTTCAATGAAAAAGAGAATGGGAATTTTTCACCTCTAACAACTTCATTAAAAATAAAATAAAAACAGAAACCCGTTTTTTATTTTTAATAACCACCTAAAGCAAATAGTGAATTTGCCCTTGAATGGTGAAAAGCTCTCCAGCAGCCCAACTAGTGTGAAATTGTGAATGTGGGTCATGGGTGGGGTCAACGAATGTACATATATATCCAGTGTTCTGCGGAGATTTCCGGAACATGACATTCAAGTTGCATATCATTTTTCATTATCCTAATTATAAATGAATTTAAACTTAATTCTGTCAATATAAAATTTCAAGGTATGAGAGTAAAGCATCACATAATAATAATTAAATTTAAAAAAAAAGCATTTCTAATGCTAAAGAAGATAAAATTATATTCATTAATCCCAAAATAACATTATTTTGAGATTTGAGAAAAAAATATAAGATATTTAAAAAAAAATTATATCATGAATTGTTATTAAAAAAATTTGTTTTTTTTTGAAATTCCAAAAACATATTTATTTTATGGTTGTAGGAAAGTATTTTATTTTTATATTATAGGAGAAAGTAATTTTTTAAAATTATTATTTTCATAAAATATAATTATTTACTTAATATAGCTTAATTGAATTTTATTAGTATAGATAGAATTAGCCATCAATCATTCAAAGAGGTACACCAACCAAGCATTCCCCTACGGCCTACCTAACCCCCACAATATGGAATCGTGATCCGCATCATAGAATAATATACCATAGTGTGTCACGGTTCAGTTATCTCTGAGATGAATGGTCCAAATTTTTAGATGACCACTGGCGCAGGCACGACCACCAACACTACACCAAAGCTTTCTCTTCCACAATTTTGATCAAGGTTCAACCATAACCACACGTGTGTAATAACCCCACCCTATACTCACCAATTCTTTCTCTCATTTTACCTTTTAATCCTTCGCAAGCATCCAAAACTAGCAAGTAGTATACCCAATAATAATATTAACATATAAAACATTCACGGAAAAATAAATAAAAATATTAACATATAAACAAATAGTAATAACCCATAATTATACACAGTAATTAAAATATTATATAAAGGGCATACACGTGTGGGACCGATTCATAACGATACACGTGTTACTCTGCATAATAGTACTATTACTTATTTTAGTTTAGTAATAATGATAATAAATTGATTTTATTTATTTATTGTGAAGATTGAAAACAGGGTGAGGGTATCTAATGTAATGTACCATAAAAAAAAGCATCTAAACTCTCGATTCTGGGCATCTTATTAGAGATCCCACCCTTATTTGTCTCGTCCTGCACCCCTTAAATCTTCACTCTCACTCTTCACATATTCAATTCATCTCACACAACACAAGAGTAGTTAGAGAGACGCTCAGAGAGAAGAAAAAAAGAAAAAGAAAAAGAGAAAATGAACGTATTGGATTCCAATGTGGAGGCTTTAGCCATCAACTACTTGAGCTATGGTATGCTCACCACACTCAACAATTTATGGACCTGGGTAGCTCTCCTCACCGCCGCTCTCAGCTTCTGGAAGATTCGATCCGTGGGTTCCCTCAAACCCAAACCCGACGAGCCCTCCTTCGTTGGATCCGACCCCGTCAAGGTACCGTTGACGCCTGAAGCTGTAACGGCAGTAATTGAGCCAGCGCGGCAGACGGTGGTGGTTGGTGATGACGTTGACGCAGTGAGGAAGGGGAAATTCACGGTGTATTACGAGGAGGACATGCAATGTGGGCGCGGCGGCGAGGGGTTGTTGACGGCGGCGGAGGATTGGGAAGAGAGAGAGGGGAGCGAATCGGAGTGGTGGAGTAAGTGGGAGAGGGTGTTGAAGTTGAGAAATGGGGAAAACGAGAACGGGTGGTACACGTGTCAGGATTTGACGGAGCTTAACGGCAACGTTGTTAGATTATGGGATAGTGGGTTAAGTTTTGGTGGTGGTTCCTTCACAAGGGAATCATGGTGCAGCACAAGCTGTATTCATGTCTGGTGATTAAAAAAAAATAAAAATAATAGCTTTATTAGATGTAGGTTATGTTGTGTATCTTTCTATGATATTAGGCTCTCCATCAAAACTGAGAGAGATTATTGAGATTTGAGAATGTATATATGGTAATTTAGTAGTGGCTTTGGAATTTTAGTTGATGAAATAGCATATCATATTTATCATTCACGAATTTGAGTATCAATTTCAAAACGCAAATGTCCGCAAGCAAGCAAGCTTTGCGTATGTTTTTGAATCTCTTGCTCTTTCTCTGTCTTTATTATTTCTTTGTCACGATGTTAGTATGCTTAATTTTTATTTGCGCGTTTTTAAATTTTAGTACGCAATTGCGAGTACATTTTCGATGCTGCGGTAGTGGGTATTTTCTTTCTCAAAAGAGGAAGAAAACAAAAAAGACATGGAAGAAAATAATTATGAAGATAGAGGAAATGCAAATTTGTTAATTTTTTTTTCATATGTAATAAAAGATGTGTCAACTGTTCGGTACAGCTTGGTATCGAAACAGAAGAAAATGAAGTTAGGAAAGGGTAACAAATTAATGGAAGAGAAGGATGGGAGTGCCGTGCAGGCAAAATGCTCTACTCAAATTGACAAGTAATCTGAAACAACGCATCACAAGGCAAGTAGTTCATGATCAGCGTTTAGCTGGGTTGGGAAAGTGCTCTTTAATGTGTCGTTGTCATATGTTTTGTTGGCCACATGTTTCAACTTTGAACTACTCTATGAAGCGAACGGTGGTTAATTTCCGTCTCTTATAAACTCAAGGCTATCCTCAGCTGAAGGAGACTGCTGAAGATGGGATTGCCAAAGCCTTGTGTGTGTGTGTGTGTGTGTATAGGGTAATTAAAGTAAAAAAATTATCTGTAATATTCTCAATCATTGGGGAATATGCCAACATGTGCTATAATTACTCTTCGCTGTTTCAGATTTTCTAATCTTATTTTAGAGAAAAGTAGAAAAAAATCATAACCCTAAAACGAACGTATGATTGTCAAATAGGTTTGATGATATATTGATAAATCTACACGTTGCTATCATGAGTTTGGTGATTTGTGTTCAGTTTGAAACTGCCAACAGTTTTAGGGTCATTTTCCAAAATGGTAAATAAAAAAATGAATTTATCAAAAAAAAAAAACAATTTCTTAAAATGGACTCTTTTGTGTCTCATGTGCAAACCATTATTATACTTGGTGCTATGCCACGCGAATAATGCCTCCGTATATTTAAAAAAAAAAAAAATCAAGCAGATCTAATGTGGCAAGGCAGCGTCTTCCTTATACGATACAACGTGACAATTTGTTTAATCCCTTTCTTTCTCAGTACACACGTTAATATATTTTTAGTTAAATCAAATGGTGAAATTGGTCACAACCTTACAATATATGCTATTAATTATTAAATTGATCTTATGGGGGAGGTAATTAATTTGGTGCATGCGTGAAAGTTGAAACGTTTATGAGATTCATAAATGACAGAATTGATCTATCACGACTTGGAACCAATTCGCCTCCACTAGTCTCTCTCTCTCTATATAGACAAAATAAGTTTCATCTTTTCCGTATATTGTGCGTGCTGAAAACTACATATATACTAATTTATTTAAATTGGATTTTTTATTTTCCTCTTCAGAATTAGTGGCGGAATCAGAAGAAATAATTGGGTTAGAAACATCAATAATATCTCTGTGATAAAAGCAATAACTCCATTAGTCCCTTTTACATTGGCCCGTCCTAGGGAATCAATCATCTCATCTTTAATCGGCACTAATCTTTATATAGTATTGTATTTACTATAATCTTTGACCCGCCACTAATTTGGTTGTATCATAATTGCCCATTAGTTATTATAATAATGTTTATGGATTTAATGTTTATAGACATATCTGATAGGTTCATAGTTATGAGGTTTTTTTTTTTTTTTTGTGTATTTTAAATTTAATTTGGAAGTGAGAGTATCTATTGTTATTCGTCTGCAAATTATTTTTTTATTTTAAAATTTCCTTTATTAAGTAAATAAGTCAACCTGGTAATATATTACCACTCTTAGACATAACAATTATAATATTGTTTAAATATAAAAAATCACATCCTGATTATTATTTTCAATAAATAAATAAATGAGTGCTAGTTTAAACTGCAAAACACAACTACATCCAAATTTAAATTTGATGTTTCGTTTTTGTTACCGGTTGATAATGTTATCAAACTGAATATAAGAATTTTTTTTTCCCCTTTTTTAACAATATAATTTTAAACATGTTAAATAATATGTCATGTTAGTTCAATATAAGCAGGGGCGGACACAGAGAGAGCGAACATTGATGTCCCTGGTAAGAACTCGAACCGTTAATTACGGAAATTAATTAATTAATTATGTGAAATTAGAAAATAATTTCATAATTGACCCTAATAATTATTATGAGGCTTAAATAAATATAAAAAGTGGTTAATAATGCTGAAATTCACTTTTCGGACGAAAAGTGCAGATACCGGTTCTGTTACTCGAGGTAAATGCGTACCAAAAAAAGTATCCCAGAAAATTATAATAAATGCATGATAATTCCTATAATATTATATAGGACTAGTAAAACAAGTTTCAATTTAAAATAATGAGAACTGGTGCCAGAAACTGATACTGGCTATGAAAAGCGCGTACTGAAAAGGTGCTGCGAAAAATAATATAAAATATGATAAATCTTAGAAAAATGAGCAAGATCTGATTCCAAAGTTTGGGATTAAAATGCTAAGCGTAACTATTAATACTAATACTGCGCGATTAAAACTTAAGTGGCCTATATAAGCCATGGCACATGATCCTAGGTCATTTTATTGATTTGCTACGTGAGATTTTTCTGAGTTGCAACCAGCCACCTTGCCAACACCTCTCCTCCACCTCTTGTGAGCCAAGTTGTCACCTTTCTTCATGAAATCTTCTCCTAAACACTTGGTGTGAGTGAGAATCATCTTTGGGAGTGGGTTGTGACCTTGTAGCTGTGTGGAGTTTTTGTTTTAAGGGGGTTCATAGGGTTGTGTTCTGAGTTTTCCTTTGTTGGAGCTTTGCCTTGGTTGTGGGAGCTTCAAGTGATGACCTTTGTGAAGAAAGGACCTACCTTGAAGTGCATTTTCGTGCACCCTTGAAGTCAGTACCTTGGAGCTGACTTGTGAGCTCCAAGAGCACCTCTCTTTTCTGTTTGAAGCTTGGGTAAGTTGTTGAACCCAAGATCATGAGTTTTTATGCTTAAAAATGGAACCTTGATGCATGTAATGAACTTAAGGTCATAACTGGAGGTTGGGTAATGTTAAACACACCTTAAATCGTATGTCTAAGCTTCTGTATGCTTGAAATGAACCACCTTTGGGAAGGATATCTCGCGAAATACAGAACTGCATTCTGTCGCGAAATATCCCGATATTGATATCCGGATATGTGTTCTGTGATATCTGGATATTGATATCCGGATATGGGGATCAGTGATATCCGGATATTGATATTCGGATATGGGGTTCTGTGATATCCGGATACTGATATCCGGATATGTCCCCGACAGATATCCGGCTATTCTGGGAATTTTGGAACAGTGACGGTACTGTTCATACAGAATGTCATTTTGGGTTGGTGGATCCAGGATCGACTTATGTGGACTTCTGTAATAATTAAACTAAGTCAGAATCAAGTGATTAAAGGCTTATGACTTTGAGAGAAGTCTAAAGACGTAAAATGTAAATGAAGGGCGTTGTTTTTAAATCTTATGCTTGTTGTGCATAAATATTGATAATATTATTGGTCCAAACATATTGTGATCTTGCTGTTTGTGGACTCTGAGGTATTGTGGACTCTTGGCTTGATAGCTAGCTTGCAAGGTAAGCTTTCGTGTCCTCGATTTAGCCATTGTTTGTTCCACCATGTCCCATGGGGGGATGGTTTATATGCATGATGTGTTTTCATGTATTGTTTTGCTGAAATGCTATTGAACTGTTAAGTGCAAATGCTATATGATATGTATGTGGTGTTCCTTCTAAACAGGAAGCCATTGGGTATTCCTGTGGGCGGGTACAGCATGGGCTGATATTAAGTGGGTAATAGACGTATTCCTGCATTTCTCTGATCAGTAGAATAGTTATAACACACATGACATGAATATTTGTTGCATTGCACTGATTTTGGAACTGATATTGAAGTACTGCTTTTAGAACTTATATTGTACATGTAAGTGAGCTTGGGGTGGAAGATCCTTGAGGACCCCTTGTCTTACTGAGATTTCTTGTTTAGATATCTCACCCCATGTTTGGGGGCGCTTATTTCAGGTTCAGGTATTTTGGGGGCTGATGCCTCTGGCGGCAGGAGGCCAGAGCTTAGTTGATGATTATTGTTGTTTATTATGCTGACATGTTGGATGCTGAATATTCTGCTGATGTTATGTTTTTAGTTGCTTTTATTATGCTGTTGATGTTGAGACTTCTGTTGGGCTTGTGCCTTGTTTGGGTGAGCATGGGGTTTGTCCATGCCACTTTATGTTAGTACTTTGAGTTGAAATGTATAACTTAGTAGGTTGTCCGGTCTACGTGTTGTAGTTCCATGACTAGAGACTTATATCTGTTATTTTAATTAATGAGGTATTCAGTTAGCTGTCTTTCGCAATTTACATACAGGCATGGTTTTATTTAAATGATTAATTAAGCAAGTTGGTAATGATAATGACGTCATAAATGAAAAGAAAAATATATTTCGCATTTTTAATTAAGCGCAGCTTAATACGATGATATGATAACATTACCGGATATATACGAAGTGTTACATCCCCCATCACAAGAATAATAAATTATTAGTACTAACAGCTAACCCCTCCATAAAAAATACTTCTAATAGTTAGTCCATCTTATCATTCTTAATAACATTTGTAACTTTTTTATTTTATTTGTTAGACAGGTCCAGGGGAAGACTGTGGTAGGGGATCACCACTAATAGGGTAAGGCTACATCAACCGCAACAAGTGTATCCGATACCATAACTCAACACAAAACCTTAATGCATTGAGTTCATTTTTTCATCCACTTATATTTAACTTAGTCCATTACCAACGAATGTTGGACTCCATCACACTTTAATATCCCAACAATGTCCCCCTCAAGTGTGAAACCCACCATTAGTATATGCTCCCCCTCAACCGAGTACCCTAGGTGTAACACTCTGTATGCAT